CATTTGAATGGATGAACTAGAACTTCTGAAATTTCATTTACACCCCATTTCTTTTTTTCCTCTCAGTTATTTTGTTCTCCCAACTGAAATATAGCAAGAACTACCCACCGTCAGTCAGACTTTTAACCTAAGTTGTATGTTTATGAACACATACATGCTCAGCATCGAAGCTGAATGCAGCAGATACAGAATAGAATGTAGTGAAGTTGTAGGTAAAAACTATTTCTTAGGACATCTAACAGTTTGTGTCTCATTAAACCAGCAACAAAATATGCTGTGTAGTATATTTTTTAACGGGTCTACGTATATGTTTGATAAACAAAAAAAGGGCCATTGCTTTCAGCTTTTGCCGTCTATAACACTTAGCACAACAGTTTCATTTCCTGGAGTTTTTTTTCAATCAGGAATTTGAACAATCTTAACGAAGATCCTGCACCGCCCTGATCAAGAGATGAAACAAAAGCAGCATCACAATCAACATTTTTAAGTATCAGTGTTTTTATGTTATAAAAAGTAGTAATGGATCCACTCAACAACAACAAAAAAACAACATAATTCAGCTGTTCTGCTGCAGCCGGTTGATCAGATGATCATTAATATCAAACTAGACCTAATTGTATCCGGATGTGAGTCTGTGTACTGGGCATTGTAAAGTGAAACCACATACATTCCTGGCAGCTGAGTGGCACAGTGACCATAATGACAAAAGCCGAAGCAATCTCTGCACCGATAAATATCAACTTATTGTTTTCTGATTCACTAGCTCACCTTTCTCAGAAGTTCCTGAACCTGCTCTTTGTCCTGTCGCTGGCGGTTGTTGAAGACATGGTACCTCCCTCCACAGCGCTCTATGACCTGCCTCAGGCCTGGGTGTTCTCTCTGCAGGTATTGCTGCAACAGAACAATTGGATCTGTGTGAATGTGGACATACAGTTCTATTGTACGTTTTTGTTTTTTTTATTAGTCTAAAATGAAACTAATTACATGCATGAAAATATTTAAACAATGCACAACCGTTGGGAGTAGGAAGTACACTAATAGAGAAAGAATTCCCAAAGGAGGAAACTAGGAAGTGCATTTGACTGAACGCTCTGGTGAGAATTATAAAAAAAACAATTATTGGTGTTTTAAAGATGGAGTAGATATAGATTTCTAATACCTCAACTGTTTTTCCCATCAAATAGTCTCCACACGTCAGTAGGACCAGGGTGTGATCCAGCACTTCAGTCCCAAACAACTTCTCTAGCTCTGCAGGCACTCGACCCTCCATCTTGGGACAAAACAGAGATTTCTTACGCACTGCTTGTTCTTCATTTCAACAAAGATTTTAAATCTAAAGACATAATTAAAGCTTTAAACACTCACTGACCTCTGTGAATTGGTTTACAGGCACCAGCAGCAGAACAGCATGTGGACCCGGTGCTACCAAGCTCATGCCCCGCTGGGTCTCCTTTTTGACACCTTCATCCATGTCGCAGCCGATCCAGAACCATCTTGGCGCCTCCACTAGGGTCACCCTTCTGCCCTCGGTTAAGCCCTGTCTCAGCGTGCTGCTTCTGGCGGCACTGGGAGTGACGGGAGACAGCTGACCCAAGATGGTGTCCGCCGTTGATGTCTTCCCACAGCCAATGTTCCCAAGGAGAACCAACCGTAGGTCTGTGGGTGAGGACCCACTGAAGCCTTCTCTCAACAGTTCACTCATGCCTGATGTTTAGGATGAAGCAAACGTAAAACATTCAGTTTCAAACATATTAAATTATCTGTTATGTCATGGCTGTTCCAATTTAGGTACCTTTTTACAGTAAGGACAGAAAAACAGTGAACACTAATCAGGAACAGTGCTTATAGGATGGACCATGAACTATTGGTTGAGAGGGTCCCATTTCTTTCTCCCCGATCATGCCCACATTTTTTCTCTGTTCTCTGCAATGTATGCTATAGAAACGATTAGAAACATAACATCTCCAACCACTCATATTGAAAATGTGTGTTTTTACAGAGTTTGCATTCAAATTTACCAATAAAGTCAAGAAAGTTGGTTCAGTTAATGGAATTAATGATTTCATAGAGAAGTAGGTTATCAAAGGTCATTTTTCTAGCAGATTAGGCTGGAATTGTTACAAGTTTTTACAATATCGATACTTCAGAATGCATAATGCAACAATAATAATGCTGTCAGATTTGTATTCAATAACCATTTTTTTAAAATGCATACACAAACGCATGCATACATAAAAGATATGGAGATTTACTCTGGAAGACAAGAGAGCATAATCATTAGAATGTATGGTCAAAAGCCATTACAGCTTTTATGACTGGATGCCTTTTTTCCCCCCTCCCCGCATACTCCAGTTAGGAGCCCCCATAGGGAGGTTGTCTTTGGTTTTGACAGTATTGTGGGGGATCAGGGTTTGGATCCTGGTTGCGTTTAGGAAATCTTGGTCAAGTCTGTGAACAAATCATAATGACTTACTGTGGTGAGCTCTGAATAGGACACTAAAAGGACACAAACACACACTCCAGAAGTCGGAGTTGCATTTTGTGTTCCATTTTCAAAGTAAATTATGGACCAAAGCAATATCACAATCTGCCTAAGTCAGACAACATCGTACCCCATCATATATTTCATATATTACTGATTTCAATAAGTGGATTGAGAGCATGATAAATCTCTATGCCCTCTTCAGTCTTGATAGTGCTTTATGTGTTAACGTAACTAACACCAGTCAAAGCAATTTGCTCCAACAAGCCGAAACCATCTCATTGGAAACCACAACCTGTTGGATCTCATGGTGTTTAATAAGCCACACCTTGCCAGTCCAGTCCGACTACATTCTGCTTAGACTTTAACATTATATTTAGCCCCATATGCAAACACAAAACACCACTACAAATGCAAAGATAAACACCGACAATGGAGCACTGTCCAGTTCCTCAGTGAAAGAACAACACTGCCCAGTTTGTTACACTGGAAAAAAAGTCGAAATCTAGATAAGTCATCTTTTCTTTAAATGAGTGCATTTGTTCTTTGATTGAGGAGGTAAAAGAGACATTTTGCCAATTGAACAAGACAATTAACACTTAGAATAAGAAAACAAACTTGCATGGTCTCATTTCAAGTGCATATTATCTAATTATCTTATTTTAAGAGTAAAAATTATCACTCCACTGGCAAACTATGACATTTACTTACTTAAATTCAGGAGAAATACACTTAAGTTAAGACATTTTTACTTATTTCTAGATCGTTTTTTCAGTGTAAAAGTCATAGTCATACGACTGTAAAATAAAACCTTAAAAATTGACAGGAAACATCAGCATTTATATAGCGAGAAAGTAAATGTTCCCTTTCTGGTAAATGCTGAGAAAACACTTAAATCAACTCTAGTGACAACATTATGATAGATTCTCCAAAAGGACGATCAAAATGTCCAATGATCCCCTTTGATCAATATCTATCTGTTGTACTTGAAGCTTTAAAAATCCTTATTTCATTAGAACACATCCATTTAAAAAAAGAAAAACATTATGCATGTATTTGAGGTCTATAAACTGCATTCATATAATGGTCTTACCTATTCTAGTTGTTCCCAAACATGGAATCCCATCCAGTCAGCTCCAGCGTCAGTCAATTACTAAAAAGGTGCCAGCTCAAGTAAGGTTCTCTCGTTTTCCCACCTCACCACTCCCAGCTTCAGCCACACACACACAATCGCAAATAAGTGTATTTTTGTGCACAACAGGTTTCTCTGTCTGCAGGGAGGAGAGCATTCCAGCTTGGGGCGGAGAGAGAGAGAGAGGGCCAGTCATATTTGTGAATCACTGAGTTTTATCTGCCGCACCCATGGTGAATCAAAACTGCTGGATGTCTGTCAGAACATCTCCTTCAGTTGCCATAGAGATTGACAGGTAAACCAGAAGCACATTTTTCATGCCTGGTTAGGTCTGAGAGAATGTCACAAAAACACAAACCTATTCAAAGAACAGGAACAGAATGATTGGAACAGAACCTTCGCTTTGCTCATTACGTGGTTCATCAGATAAGTACTGGAAAAGTACTTTGCATTTTTGCTTTACATAGTTTCAGGTAAAACTAGTTTTTAAAAATTCTTATTGCAATAACCCATGACATTTTTGGACTTGGAGAGCTATAACAGCTGTTGGGTGGATCAGGTTGAATGACGGAGACCAAAAAGAGTTTCAGGTAAAATCTAAGCCTGAAAATTGAAGACAGCTCAAGAAGAAACCCTTTCATAAGAAACATTTGAAAGTCTAAATGTTATGGACAAATTGTTAGTTCTGTTAAACGTGTTTGGATGTTTTATAATGGATTTATTTTGCTGCAACAGTGTAATCACAGAAAATTTTAGAACAAAACATTTCTCTAGATTTTAATTACTGGTCAAAATCCTTGGCAGAGCAATTAATGGCAATCCTGCCTTTTACCAACAGGACAGAAGGCTTCTGTATCATTTCATGAGGTCAGAAAACCCACAGAGAGATTTAAATGTCTTTGCCCACTTTACTAAAGATTACCTAGAATCCTGCATCCTCCTCTTGCTTTTAAACCATTGGCTCTCTGCATTGTTTCGGTCTTTGGATCGAGATAGTCAAAGAATCGGCTGATTTTTCTCCACCTGCGTTGTGGATAATTTTCTAGCTTATTCTTTGTCCTAAAGAATTTTTCTTTTTTCATTTCCTTGTATTTTAAAGTGTTCCTGATGATATCTGGTCTAAAGATCAGAAAGATTTGGAAAGCATTACCAAACAAGACATCATTGAGACATTGGTCTTTAGACTAAATCTGGTTGGTCCGCCATAGTCTTGATGTAGTCCAGAAGGAGTTGTTGAAATTAGGCTGTGTTGGGTCGGTCTGATTTGGTCCCACTTTAGTCAAATAACAGATGTTCCAAAACAATCTGAAAATTGTGGGTTTTCACTTTTCAACCAATTGTAGACGTTGTCTGGACGTATATCATGTCGTCTTTTCAACCAGTTTTTGCTCGGTGGGCAATCATTTACTTTTCTACCAGACATGTTTATATCTGTGAAGTTTGTTTTTGTAACCATTGTCCACACTTCAAGGTGGCTGGATAGCTACAGACCAGGTTTACACACAAAAATCCCCAAAATGACTCGGCAGATTATAGGAAAGAGATGAAATTGTGAGAAAGAGGGTTTTCATGCCACTACAATACGAGGAGAATAACTAACGCCGTTACCTTGTTTTATTAACGAGTAATCTAACTAATATTTTTGACTGTAACTATAACGCAGTTACCATTGCAGACAC